AATTTACTAATGCAAAAGTGTATAGAAAGTGCTTTAATCACTCGATCATCCACATTAAATTTGCATCCTTGTTCTTATATTTTCACTTTTCTTGACAGATCTTCTATTATCACAATTGAGGAGATTTAATAAAATAAAGTCATGGAAACATAAGCAAAAAGAAAAAGAAACTAAATGAAATCAGTGAGACTGTATATTCAAACAGATATTGAAAAAAAAAAACTTTATTAAATTAAAATTTTCAGCATCTTCTTTCATTCATCTTCTTTCATTCATCTTCTTTCATTCATCTTTCACATCACTTTAGTCTAATGAAGTCCTAAAGGACAAAATGTGGAACACAAAAAAATTACCCTGCTTGAACACAATTACAAGCAAGCATTTGAATTTCAGGCAATTGCGAGACTAATTCACATATATTAAAGTATTATTAAATAAATTTTTAATACTCAATGATCTCTATAAAAGAGAAGCATAGTTATGGGTCTGAAGTGTAGTATTCATTTATTATCATATGACTTTGGTTGGTTGATCAAAATGGATAACCTATCATATTTCTGGTACCACAGGTCCAAGAAAATTGGTAGTGTAAATGAGCATAGAATAAATGAGACCAAACAAATAGCAAAATAAAATAAATAAAATAAAAAATAAACTGGGTTTGCGACACCAAAAACAAAAAAATGAGGAATAAAAGAAGAGAGCTGGAACACAATCCAGAAGAGAGTTTGCACAATACAGGGGGGGGGGGGGGCACAATGGGGGGGGGGCAATCCGGAAAAGAGGGGGCACAATCTAGAGGGGGGGCACAATCCGGAAGAGAGTGGGAACACAATCCGGAAGAGAGTGGGAACACAATCCGGAAGAGAGGGAGATCACAATCCGGAAGAGAGGGAGATCACAATCCAGAAAAGGGTGGAAACACAATCAAAGTACTGAGAATTGCTTTGTGCATGAAACTATTAGTTGCTGTCAAGTCTCTAGGGTCTCTTCAGTCATTTCATCAGATATTCATGAAATGGCTCAGACCAAAAACTTTTCAGCACCTCCTCCTATCTATGTACACACACACACACACACGTGTGCTTGAATTTAATTTTTTATTTTATTTTTTAAATATTCTTTGTTAAAATTGGTATTTTTAGTTTTAATTTATTTTATTTATTTATTTCTATTTATTTGTTTTTTATTTTATTTTTTATTTACATAAAAAAACATTCCATGTCCATAAAGAAAAAGAAAAAACAAAGAAAAACTACTAAATTGTTATGGAATATCAGTCCTTCTATATAACAGTAATTGTTGGACAACCTCCTCACAGATGAATGAAAGACTTTAGGCAAAAAAAATGTGGTTCTATAGAAGGATGCTGAGAATCCCATAGAATGAACTGAAATTTAGTAATGAAGAGATTTTAAGGAAAATGGAAACAAAAAAAAGACATTTATACTTAGAATCAGAAAGAGAGAATGGAAATTTCTAGAATGAGGAAAGAGGGCTTGGAGAACCTGACACTGACAAGACATAATGAAAGTATAAGTGACAGAGGAACAACTAACCTATTTAACAAACTTGTGTATCAGAACAGGGACTGGGAAAGATAATGAAAGGATAAACCTTACTGAGTGCTACAAAGGATAGGAAGTTGTGGAGAGCTGTGATCTTCCACATTCAGAAGTGACATGGCACACAGAAGAAGAATTTAATCTATGTAAAGCAAGAATACAATATTTGTCACATAAATGAATTTATGCCCCAAAAAGTCAAAGAAAATTGCAACTTCAAAATATTTCATACCAGTTCATTTTTTAGTTTCTATGTAATCCCCTTTAAAGACAAAAGCAGTAATAATTCAAATGCTTTCTTTACTTCTCGTCTCAAAATAAGTAGCTTAAATATCTGTCAAACAAAATCTTCATCAGCAAAATTTTAATCTTTATATAAAGCTGGATACTTAAAATTTTTAATGAAACAAAAACATTTTTACTTAAGAAAATGTCTAAATTTATGAAAACAAAAAAAGAAATCATTTTTTAAAAAAGAAAGTAAACTAAAGTATAATGAAGTCAGATATGCAAAAAAAAAAAATTGTCAAGAAAATTTGGAATTTTTTCCAAATAAAAAACAGTCTGATGGTGCTTTAGTTTACTGCTTCAAAGTTCTCACCTTAGAATGTCATAGCATTCCATCCAGTTTTGAACATTTACAAACTCCTTTTTCAGGATTTCCATCAGCTGCCTTACTGCACAGCTCAAGATTAACATTTACACCAAGTATAATAAAACTTGTTTGGGATGATGCTGGGACAATACAAAGTTTTTTAATTAAATTTTCTTAAAATAAAAAAAGTCATTCTTCATTATCATAACTAATAATGAGATTTTAATAAATGAAACTCCCAATCACAGACAAAATGAATCAATTAATGGATAAACAAAGCTTAAGGGCTTCTTTTTAAACTGATGACTGAAACCAGAATGAAAAATGAAGAATGACTTTAAATTTAGTTATTTTTGTATCATCCCTAAAAGTGAAAAATATTTAAATCTAATTTTGCTTTAATAAACAAAACAAGACTTATTGAAACACCAGTTCCCATACAGTCACTAAAGTTAAGCCTGGTCATTTGAGAATACCAGATGTTATAAGAAGCTTGAATTTGTGGATGATGTAATGGATAATGGCTTGGTATTGTTAATTGGAGAACCAAGTTCCAATTCCTGTTGGGCTTGCTATATTCACTTACATGCAAATACCCTTGAGAAAGATATGAATCAACCTCTTCTTCCCCATATAAGACTTGTATCTTCTTTTATGTGCCATTCCCCGTGGGCGATCATGGCCCTCCACATCTTCACGTTCCTTGTAGCACTTAATAAGTTTTGTCTCTTTGTTATTTCTCCCAAAACCTGTTCTGTCATCTATTTGCACAAACTCATCAAGTATCTTACACGCTTCTTTCCTTTGTCCCTCAATCTGTCCCGTGAGGATCAGATTTTCCAAGAAAGAAAAATATTCTTACAATCTGAATATTTTCTGGTTTTAAGCTATAGAAAGCAAATAAATTATTCAACAAAACAAGAGAATTAAATTTTTTCTGTCAATTTTTGGTTAAAAACCATGACTGAACCATTAACAAACAACATTTATATGTTGTTTTCTGCTTATTATAACCTGAATAGAAAAGCACAATTGAAAAAATGATAAACATGGAAAATTTAGTCACAGCGTGAGGCAAGTAATTATAAATAGAAATTTTTGTGTTTAGTTGGAATGTGCTAATATTTTTTACATAGAAAATGAATGCATAGGGCAAAATTCTTAGATTAAAAGATAAAATTTCCTCTGAAAACAGGAAAATTAATTAATAACAAAATTACCATGCAAATTGTAAAATTATTCCAGATGATACATTTTTTTTATTTGTAAGCTGACTTTAAGTGCAACTCCTGAATTTTTGGTATGACTTAAAACCCTAGAAAAAAATTACCTATAGCACAACTAGTCAGCAAAAAAAGCAGGATTGAAAAGAATTACCTGTGTATAGTGTGACTCCTAATTTTTTTTTTATAAAAATCTGAACATAAAAAATTCACAGCATATTTGAGTATGCAGTAACTAAAATGTTTAAATAAAAACAGAAATGTGATTTTTATAAGAATTACAGTAAAATTTAACTAAACTTTTGTATTTATTCATTCTTAATACTAATATTTTAATTTCCTTTAAAATTTATTACGTAAACATTTTAGTAAACTTGGACTTTTATGCCCACAAAAAATCCAATGTGTCAAAAAGGACAATTTACCCACTCACATTACTATTATTTTAACTACTTTCACTCTTCATAATTTTTTTGTTAAAAAAAAAAAAAAATAGAATTTTAATAAAACCTAGATCCTAAAGATATGAAAGTGGATTTATACATTTTCTTTGTTCTTGAGAATTGACAACAAAAATAATAAACACTATTTATTTATTAGATTGTTTATTTACACTGTTTAATACATTGTTTATTGAAATGGTTGGCAAAACATCGGCTAATTTCCAAATGATTCAAACATTATAAAATGTTAAATAAAAAGGATTTCCTTATAATTGGTTCACCTATTTTAATAAATGTTTACAAATTTATGAATAAAAAATCGTTTTCATATTTATGTCTTTATAAATTGGTAAATGATAAATATTACATTACTTTTTAGTTTTAAATGTATTAGTTTTTAGAATGTTTTAAATATAAAATTATTCTTGTAAACAATCTAACAAATAAATAGTGTTTAGTATTTCTGTTGTCAATTCTGAAGAACAAAAAAGTGTATAGATTCATTTTCATCATATGTTTAGTTTTTATTATAATTCTGATCATCTCTTTTTAAAAGAAACATTGCCAAAGACTGAAGGTAGTTAAAATAATAATATTAGTAGCAAAGGAAAAACTGCAGGATCTATTTTAATATTTACAATTATGAATGTTAAGAAAGATAAAGAAAAAACAATTTCATCATTTTCATTTCAGGATAATTTTTGATTGATTGGTTTATCAACTTTTTGTACATTATTTAAAGCCAGAAAATATATTTGGATTATTTTTTTTGTGAGTGAATATTGTATTAATTTTTTTGACAATAATAATGATTTTCAGATACAAGTCTTACAATCAGAATACATAGGAGAAGTGGTGGATTCATGCCATTCCCAAGGGTATTTGTATGTAAGTGAATGTAATGAACCTGACTAGAATTCAAACTCAGCTTTCTGACTTCTCATTCCAAGCCATTATCCATTAAACCATCTGCACATCCAAGCTTACAGCACTTGGTATTCTCAAGCGGTGACCCACCTAGGGATTGACCAGGCTCGACGTTGCTTAACTTATCCATTACACCACATGCACATCCAAACTTACAGCACTTGGTATTCCCAAACAGTCACCTATCTAGGTAATGACAAGGCTCAATGTTGCTTAACTTATTTGTTACACCACATGCACTTCCAAGCTTACAGCACTTGGTATTCTCAATTGGTCTCCCATCTAGGTACTGACCAGGCTTGACATTGCTTAACATTGGTGATCTGAGGAGAACCAGTGTTTCAACATGATATGGCCATAAGCCAAACAGTTTAGATTTGGAATTTATCCAAGACAATGGTGAAAAAAATGTCCATTTGGCGCTCTTCTCACTGTATTCTTCTTCTCAATCGCATCTGGCTTACAGCCATATCATGTTGTAAAAAATTGGTTCTTGTCCAATCACGGAAGTTAAGCAATGTTGAATCTGGTCAGTACCTGGATGGATGACTGCTAAGGAATACCAGATGCCACAAGCTTGGACATGTGGGTGGGTAGTGTAATGGATAGTAACTCAAAATCAGAGTGCAGAGTTAAAATTTCAGTTGGGTTTGTTAGATTCACTTGCAAATACACTTGGGAAAGGCATGAATCCAGCTATGAGTTAAATACAATGACTCATATCATAAAATCATTATCTCCAAAAACATATTTTGGTCTTAAAATAACCTTAAAGATAAGTCTTAAAATAACCTTAAAGATAAGTCTTAAAATGCAAATCAATTACATCTATAGTGAGCTTTAGCTTCAGGAAAGCCTGATGTCATAGGCACTGGCATATACAGGGGTTGCAATAATTTGTCAAAAGACAAAGAAACTCAAACATGAAGAATAGTCAATACGATGGTCATGTAGTATGCAAACGATTCAATAGCATTTTACTACCAAATGAGTAACCACAGGGGAGAATCCTGTTTGGGCATGTGCAATAAGGTCTCCTCTGATTGGTTACCAAGTTACAAAGGGAGACAACCAATTCTTGAGTAATTGAGTAATTTTGAGACAGATCTAAATTTTACGTGCATGAACACAAAAATACATATGTACACATGTAGGTTATTTCAAGAATTCAATCCGGATGAAAATCAAAAGTGGAGAGAGAGAGGAATTTTCTTAAAAGATTTCCATGGTGCAATTCAAATCTGTATAATTACACCCTCAATTCCTTTGAGACAGTCTATGACTGAAGGGATTTACGATCAGAATTAAAATAATTATTCTTAATTTGAAGAATTTCATATAGCATTTCATTTTTTCTTTTCCTTTTTCTTCAATTTCTTCTCGTCTACCTATTTTTTAATTTTTTTTTATTATTACTTTCATGTTGATTAAAAATTATCTAAACAGATGTGATTAACTGAAATAATTAAATAGATTTTAGAAAATGAAACCAAGAAACAAAATATCAGCCGATTGGGATAAATGCTTGCTTTCCTTCTCTCAATCCATTTTCAAACGAATCCAAAATGCCTATACCAGGTTACACTAATTGGTCTTCTTGAAATCTCTTGGTACAGCAATACCTATCTCAGTCACAGTACCAAAATTAGCTCCTGATCTACATAGAGAGAACAAGAATTTTATTTGACTCAACAAATGCCTACATTCCATTAGGCGTCAAAAAAAAAAAAAAAAAAAAAAAACAGAGTTCATTCTCTTATGATTGTTCATTGTCAAGGCCGACAATGGGCGTAACAAATGTTTTACTGTTACTACTACTGTCTGGATGGTAGAGGCATTTATGGGAGAACGGTTTGCTTAAGTTTTCACTCTCCTGCTCTTCTCCGTCAACAATGTCATGCCACTCATGAAACATTATTTTTGTAAAAATATCTGTCATTGGGACAGAGCACAGGGAGAAGTGCATTCAAGCCTTTCCAAACAGATTAAAAAATGGTTAAAAAGAATAGTTAGTAATGGTTGGCTACTTGTTTACAAATATGTATGCCTGCTGGTGGCTAGCTAATCCCTGTAGCAGACACCTGCTCAAGCACATTTATATCGCTTCAAGCCAACCTGTGATTAAAACTGCAACCTTATACTTCTAATATCTTCACCTGAACTCTGAAATCTTATTTACTAAACTCAATAGAAGTATATAAGTTTGTCTATCAATAGATAGTATATAAGTTTGTCTATCAATAGATAGTATATAAGTTTGTCTATCAATAGATAGTATATAAGTTTGTCTATCAATAGATAGTATATAAGTTTGTCTATCAATAGATAATATATAAGTTTGTCTATCAATAGATAGTATATAAGTTTGTCTATCAATAGATAGTATATAAGTTTGTCTATCATCTGGTTCACACTCCACACTTCAGTTTGGAATTCCCTGATGAAGACAAGAGGGCAATCAGCTGAAACATTGTGATAACAACAACAAAGATGAGGACCATAGTTTAAATGAGGAGGAGATATATTGACCTATCATCTGATTCACACTCCTCCCTGGTCTTTTGAACAGAAGGTTTAGCCCTTATTCCTTGTTTAGGATTGGGTTTCAAGCTTCCTCTGCATTAGGTACCTCAACTAATTCACTGAAGAAAAAAAAAAAAAATACACAAAACATACCTTGATGAAAAATGCCCCAAACTTGATAAAAACAAACTTTTATCAGCAAACTCTTTGTTATTATTAAGAGGAAAGACCAAAGTACTTTTTGATTATTTAATTATATTTTTTTAATCTTTTTTAGCACATTCAAAACTTTGGCTAAAGATTTTGTTTGTCATCATCGAGCCAATGTGAACGATCCTCTCTTTAGCTGTATAGTATGTGCTCTACCGGGGCTACATACAGTTTTGAATTCAGAGTTACTTTCTCAAAGACCAGTTGCTGCCCAAGGCTATAGAACCCAGTCTGTACTGCTATTTACCCATAGCTGGGAAGAGAAGACGACAATTCATACATTTCCCAAGAGCACGTAAGTGAACGTAATGGACCTGACTGGAATTCAAACTGTTCTCTGATTCCTCAATCTGAGCCACTATCCATTATTCCACCGTGCATCCATAACTATGCTGAGTGGACATTAATTACAGTTTCTGGGAGATAGTGGATGACCTAGCATGATCAACAGTTTGAACAAGGCCAGTACACTCAAGTCCTGTCATGATGATAGCCTGATGGAGCACAACCCGCTCCAGGCCTGTTTTGAATTCAGAGTTACTGTCTTCTATACTGGTTGCCACCTGAGACTATAGAACCCAGTCTGTCTTACTATTTTTCCCATAGCTGGGGGGAGAAGAAGAGGATTTATACCTTTCCCAAGGGTATTAGCAACATAAGTGAATGTAACAGATCTGATTAGAATTCAAACCCTGCTCTCTGATTCCTCAATCCAAGCCACTATCCATTACTTACCATGCCTCCTAACACTTGTTATTTAGTACTGCTCACCCAGTTTCCACTAAGTTTAAGTCTGTACTACCCAGCCTAGGGATTGAACTCACAATTACTATGTCACCAAATTCATGAATCAATGCTTTAACTCACTTGGCTATTGTTCAATGACATCATTCTCTGAAGGACACCAGGATTGACAAGCACCTCATAAAGGCAGGAGAGTACAATGGCTGAAACATTGTGATAATAGCAACAAAGATGAGCACAATGGTAAGTGTGTAAATAATGTAAATAATTCTAACTTTGTTCACTAATTCCATTTTCAATGCTGATGAGGGCTAGAGGGTATGATGGACAAAACATTGCAATAATAATAACAACAAAGATGAGGACAATCATCAGTGTGTAAATAATTCCAACTTTAATGGCTTCTGAACAATTTTGCCTACCCGATTTAACTCACAATGATAGGGTCAACCTGTTCTATGGTTTTCAGAAACTTTTCAAAACACATTGGGGTTATCTCCCCAGGCTGATATCATCATCAAATGGTGAAATTCAAACCAGGGCCTCATGCAAGGTAAACCACTACTAACTGTACCACAAGTGGGTCTTCATTCCAATTGGAAAGGAGCCATCTGCCATGAACTCCTCACCCCCCAAAATAAGTAGTTCCCATGCTAATATTCAAATCATGGTTATTCTACAGAAGGATATGAAGAATTCCATGAATGGAATGAGTAAGTAACAAGGAACTCTCAAAGAAAATAGTTACAAAAAGAACACTTAGAATCAGGAAGAGAGAGGTGAAATTTCTTCAACACATAATGAGGAAGGAGGGCTTCGAAATCTTAACCCTCACAGGGCATATTGAAGGCAAGAGAAATAGGGGAAGGCAGTGAGCCACTTAACTTTAGTATAGGAAGTTGTGAAGAGCCATCATCAACAATGTCCTGAAGGGACACAGCACTTAGAAGAACATTATCAATGGCATAAGCACAGTTTCAAACTTGATAATAACAAAGTCAGGAATCGATTTGACACTATATTGATATTATGAACAGGACCCCCACCTTAAAAATGTGAAAAAAAAAAAAAATAAAAAAAAATCAATATTTTTCAATTCTGACAAATGGTGTGGCTTGAGTAACGTCAAATGAATGGCAATCTTAAAAAAATATTTATCCTCAAATTTTTCACTATTTTTTATGAGCAGCCCAGTCAATTTAAGTAGTGCTGACGTTTGTGAGCAAGGGCGAGAGGGCTACACAAACACACAATGAGTGCAAATACTGCAATGAGCAAGCAGGTTATGCACAAATTTCTTGCACTAGAGAGTTTCTCTAAAAGCTCCCATAAACCAAAATAGTGCAAAACAAAGTAGTAACTGCCAGTAATTTATAGGGCAAGTTATTGAGAGTTGCCAGACCAAAAATATTCCTGCAATGATTTAAAAAAGTCCATACTTTTGAAAGGGCACAGCCAACCTTTGATATATTTACTCATTCCTCCAGCTCAATTTTTATATATTTATTCAACTATATAAAATCCAACAGAATAAAAGTTCATAAATTTGTCGTTTTAGTGAAATAAGTTAGAAAATTTGAGGAATGAAAGTAAAGAATTTGAAAAAAATAAAAAAAATATTATCAGTTGTAAAAAAAATTCTTCTGTGAAATGAAAGGGAAATAGTTCATTTTGAAATCTGATTTTGTTTAGGATGTAAAGCAAGAAGAAAAAGCATCAACCATTAAAAAAAAAAAAAAAAAAACCATGAAAAATGTCTAAAGAAAGTTCTCTTGAAAATGATTTTTTTTAATCATCTCACCCCAAGCTAGGCAATAATGTCACTAAGATACATGGGGTTATTGAGTGTCAGAGAATATTAGAAAAAGAAAAACTTTGAGGAGC